TACGCTTATACTCATAGAATCTGGGGTTACAGTACGTAACCAACGGTTTCTGGAACAATCCAGACCCAGGCAGAGGTTTTACTGCCCATCAATTATTTATCATAACTGGGTCAAACAGACACATCTGTACTTGCAGCTGTAACCACATGCTTTATGGTAGGATCATCATAAAGTACATGTCTGCCATTTATCTCACAGTTTTTAGTCAAATAAATGAAAAAAAAAACATTTAATTCTTTTTTTTTTCTTTTTTTTTTTCTCCCTTGTCCTGTTCGGCATTGTGACACTCAGAGTTATTGTCTGAGTGTCAAAGTGATGCCCAACAGATTTACTTTCACAAGCAGCACTATGGCTGGCCTTAATGCTCCACTTGATATATAAATAAAACTTTATTAGACTTTGCTTTGGGCTTGTTCCAGATGTAATGGACACGGGGATGAAAAAATAAAGAAGAAAACAAAGCAGAAAAGTGTGAGAAGGGTTAAAAGGGAAAGAAGGAGATAGGAATAGAGGAGAAAGAGACATAAAGAGAACACAAATCAACATCATTGAAGTCTGCCTCTAGACCTGAGGAAAGAAAAAAAAAAGAGAAAACCGAGAAACCACAACAACAAACAACATATATAATGATACTTATAACATTATTAGAAAGTATTTTATACAGTACATGGTTATACAAGATGTATTTAGTGGCCACCACAACCCAATTGAGTGTGTATCTGATAAACACCTGAATCTAAACACCTGTGTGAGCATGCAGGACACGATGGTAACACAGGGAAGACCAGAGCCACAGACACACAGTGGCCCCCAAGCCTAGAGCTCTGGGAGTCCCCCAACAGGGACAACCGCCAGAGAGAGGCAAAGGAAAGCCCTGGGCGACCCCCAGCAACCACAATGCAGAAATCCCAGGAGGTTGCAGCGACAAGCCCACAGGTCCCGCCGGCAACCCGCCCCTCCAGAGTAGATCTGGCCATGGACACCAAGCCCTGAGGTCATACCCCCCACCCCCCCAACAGAGGCCAGACAGAGACAGAGCATCCAGGCCCCAGCAGGCAGCCACCAGGGCGGGCCAGCACATACCCAATCACCCAGCCCCAAATGCCAAGAGCCGCCAATGCACCGGCGGCAGGGGGGCCCACCACCGGAGGGGAGCATGACAGGAGGAAGTAGACCCCACATTAAATGGGGGGCCCAAATTGATCCAAGAGAGGGGACCACCCAAAACCCAACCCAAGACATAAACAGGCACACACCGACAGCCTGACAGAGCCTCTGTCGGGCTATCCATGTGCCCCACCCGCCCGACAGTGACTGCAAGCCAGCCCCAGGCCGAGGGCCAGAGCAGCAGGGAGCAGCAGCTGAGGAAGGCCGGCCCAGCACACCAAGGACCAGGCACCCCAAGATCCCCACACCACAAGCCCCAGCACGTCACCTACGCACCCTCAATACACACAGCACCCCCCACCGCAAATGTCACACCAGGCCGACCAGCCAGCGTCTCGTCAAAGCGAAGCCACGCCCCTGACTGCTGCCATACACCATCAATGACCACACACGCACAACTACAGCTGACCTCCCGCCGGAACCCAGCAGCCACCCCAGCCAAAGGGCCAGCCATCGCAACCAGGAACTTTGATCAAACAATCCAAACAACCCAGGGAGAACCAGGGCACCAGCCCCGCCCCCAAACGACCCCCCCCCCCCCAAGGCCCAAAGCCCACCCACCCAAACCAGGCGGCCTACCACCCTCCCTGCTCCTGACCCCAAATGTCAAACGAAGAATGGGGTGTAATGAATATATATATATATATATATATATATATATATATATATATATATAATTAACAGGAAGACCCCACTCCTCCCTCTTCCTACTCAAATAAGGTGTTGATTCATGTTGTGTTATAGTGCATTTAAAATGGGGGGAATGAGGTGGCTACCGGCACAGGCCCACCCCCTCCCCTGAGAGCAGGCAGTGCCCGTTCACTGCCCAGAACCCTAAATGTCTACATGCTACATATGAGAGTGGGCACAGGTCCCAGAGGTGAGAATGATTACACATCCCACCACCTATATGCCACTGTGTGCCCACTCCAGACCCTATATATGCATGTGTCATGAGAATGTTATGAATGTCTAGGTTGTTTAATAAAATTGGGGACCAGGTCTCCACGAACCATGGAGATGGAGGATCCTCCCCGCAGCTCAGTAGAACACCTGAACCCCAAGGCCCTGTTTGAGTGGTGGTGTGATGGAGTGGGTGAAGGAAGATGTTGAGATCGGGAGGAAGAACTGAGGTGGCAATGCCCTCCCAGGGGGCCAGCTCCCCCAACTGACCCCAATAGGTACCCCCATTCTCCGAGCTCTACCAGGGGAGGGAGACTCCAATACATCCACCCAGGAGCAGGTGGCAGCAGCACCACCAGGGACCAACGCCACAGACCAGCACATAGCCCGGAGGACCGACCAGAACCGGGGACAGCAACACCCCCCCCCCCCCCCCCCGAAACCGTCCAGATCCCAACCCAATCCCCAGTCCAGCACCCAGCCCCCTGACCAAAGAAGTCACCAAATTCCAACGACGACAATCAGCCAGGAGTGCCCGAACAGCCACAGATAGTGCACCATGGCGACCGAGAGCGCACCCCCATAAAGGAACAGACCGGTCCACCCACAGCAACACCCACAATGAAAGTATCCCACGCAAGGGAGGGCACACACCTAACAAGCCCAGACACCCCCAGGCCAACAGTGCAGAGCCACCCGAGTGAGAGCCCTCAATACAACCCCCCACCTATAGCCCCCCACAGCCCAGACCCCCACCCCACCTATAGCCCCCCACAGCCCAGACCCCCAGCCAAGCACCAGACTGCAGCCACAGCCAGGCAAGAAGACACCCAGGCTGAGTCCACCTGTCCTCTCCCATGGCCCACCCTCCCCCCACCAACAGTATCACCCCCCTACAGTAGAGGCCCCAAAGCCCACCAATGCACCAAGGGCCCCCAGGCCACGGCCAGGCGCTGGCTCATGCACTGGCCCAAGACCCCGACAACATACCCGCCAAGACCTGAGACCCCCAGGCCAAGCTGGTACCCCAGCCCAGAAGCAACACTCCCCCAGAAGCCCGCGCCCACACCAAACCCACACAGGAGCAGCCAGGCCACCAGGCCAGTAAGCTGTGTCTGCCGGTACAGACCGCCCAGAAGCCTGCATGCAGCCAGCAGAGGTCATCGCCCAGAACCACCAAAGCCCACCTCCCCAGTCGAGCACCATTGCCCCGAGCCCACGACCCCCCCCCCCCCCCCCACACACACACACACACACACACACATCAACAACGATGCACCACGGGATGAAATCAAAGGGGCTCACCCACCTCCACTATGTGTTGGAGCCGATCAAAGAAGCCAAACAAAAACATTTAATTCTAAATACTTAAAACCAATTGTGAATCTGTTTAAATAGATTTCTATCTGACAGATGGTTTCTTTTAAATATGACAGATGCTCAACTTTGCCAAGCAAAGAGACAAAAGCATCCTTTTGTCCTCATCATAGAGTTAAGAGAGAGACAAAAAGACCATCTTCATCTGCTTATTACAGCTCCTCAGACTGAAAAAGTCTTCTGGATAAAAAAAACTAAACGTTTCAACAAAGAAGAATCTGTTCAGAGAACCTGACTTCACCTGGTTAGATTTATCTACATAGATTATTGGGCATGAATCAGGACATAAACCGTTCATGATGCTCACTGATGTTAAAATGTTTCTTCTTGTAACTTTTCAGAAAAAAACATATATTTTTGAATTTGTTGTTGATCTGTTTTTCTCAGTTTTGGGTTTGGATACATCTTTTTTTTTTTTCTCTAAAATAACTAAAAACATTTTACCCTGACAAATGGCTTTGGTTTCATATTTGATATGTTCATGTTTGTTACTAGAAATACTTTAATAGCTAGGAGAACACTGCTGTTAAAAGTTACAAATGAATATAAATGAATAATTTGTATATGTAATTCTATCTTAACGTGTTTATTTTTGTCTTCCCTCCTAGTGAGGACCTGATTTCCTGCTCGCCTCTATTCTGTGTTTGTTTGTTTCTACTTCCTGTCCTCTCAAACCAGCCGGTCGAAGCAGATGGCCATTCGTCCTAAGTCTGGTTCTACTGGAGGTTTCTTCCTGTTAAAAGGGAGTTTTTCCTTTCCACTGTCTCCTTTGTGCTTGCTCAGGATGGGACTGTAATGAAATGAAGACTCAATGCATCTGCTGACTTCCTTCCTTCCTTAGATAGAAATTTTTTTTTATTTGACATTTATAATCTATGAGAATGTTTTTTGTTCAGTGCCCTGAAATAATTTGAGTTGTGAATTGGAGATATATAAAAAAATGAATTGAATTAACAATTAAATGAAACTTATTGCAGGGCAGCATGGTGGCGCAACTGGTAGAGCTGCTGCCTCTCAGCGAGAAGGTCCTTGGTTTAAACCCCGGTCCAGGGGCCTTTCTGGGTGGAGTTTGCATGTTCTCTCCGTGCATGCGTGGGTTTTCTCCGGGTACTCCAGTTTCCTCCCACAGACCAAAAACATGCATGTTAGGCTGATTGGTAACTCTAAATTGTCCCTAGGTGTGAATGGTTGTTTCTCGTTTGTCTCTATGTGGCCCTGTGATGGACTTGCGACCCATCCAGGGTGTACCCCGCCCCTGGCACAGTGATTGCTGGACATGGGCACCAGCGACCCCCGTGACCCAAAATGGAATAAACGGGTAAAGATAATGGATGGATGGATGGATGAAACTTATTGCAGTAAAAACAAAGAAAAGAAACGAGCGCAGCATCCAGGACATGCTGTAGTTTGTGCATTGGTTACAATTGTAATCAATGGGTGGAGAGTGGGAAGGTAGGTAAGTCATTGCAACAACCACACATCTATAGTACAAGTATATAGATGTGTGCATAAACTTCTAAACATTGTTTTGATAATGAGGCTCTCACGCTCACCTTGGTGGCCAGTGAGTGTGAAGCGCCGGCCTCCAGCAGGACCGAAGCAGTCTCTACCTGCCCCTCTCTGGCAGAGATATGGAGGGGGGTGTAGCCGTTGGTTGTAGCAGCATCAGGATGGGCCATGTGCTGCAGCAGCAGCTGTACAATCTCTGTTTTGCCCAGACGGGATGCAATGTGAAGAGGTGTCTGGTCCTCCTGAGCAGGGTGAAGGAGAAGCATATTGGCAGTTTTCATTTTGAGCTGATTGAAGAGGAACTGGAAGGATTTAATGAAACAAACTTTACCCGCGCTCGAGCATCCACCATTGCTCCATTCCTCAGCAAACATCTGACCACCTCCACCTGCCCTGCCCTTGCTGCCATGTGTAACGCTGTTTCACCACGCTAGGCACATAACACAAGTGTAAAACCACCATTCACACTAAAGAAAATATTGTTCTGAACGAGTTATTATGATAAAATTGTTATTGTCTGCTTCTTTTCCTGCTGTTGTTCCCATCACTCACAATATTGCTGACATCAGGTGAGGCTCCATTCTGCAGCAGCAGCAGGACGATGTTCAGGTGACCCATGAAAGCTGCTACGTGGATGGGAGTCAGGCCAGACTGCAATATAGGAATAATGTTTTGGTTATTCAGATACCATAATATCTAGAATACATACAAGTTAGGAGAAACATCTGTAATTTTTATTTTGAAAAGTGCATTTATAAAGTAAGAAGGTGCTGAAATCACCTCTGTAATGGCCTGGATAGAGGCTCCATATTTGACCAGCAGTTCCATCACTTTCACTCGGTTCTTCTTACAGGCAATGTGCAGCGGAGTGAAGCCATTCTGTGAAGGATATAATATCACATGATGATAAACAATCAGCTGTCAGTTGCAGGCACTTCATAAACTTTAGATTACTTAAACAATCTGTCTTTGGTTGTTTGTGTACAAAATCCTAGATCACCTGCTATGAAATTACAGCAGGTGTAGCTTTTAAACATTTGTCTTTGCATTTTAGCTTTGAGCTGCAATATGCAAATTTGAGCAAATTTTTTTGTAATTTACTTTTGAGATACAGTTTTATTATTTTAGCTTCTATCATTAGTTTTGCTCAGTTTAGCTTTTAATTACAGTTTTGCTAATGTTTGCTAATGATGGCACTGTTTTCCTACTTTGAGCTACCATTTTGGTCTTTTTTGTTTTAAGCTACCATTTGCACCTTTTTAACTTTTCACTACAGTGCCCTAAATTATGCTGTTATGTATGGTTTGGCAAATCTTAGCTTTTACCATACCATCCATCCATCTATCCATTTTCTTCCGCTTATTCGGGGTCAGGTCGCGGGGGTAGCAGCCTAAGTAGGGAGGCCCAGACTTCCCTCTCCCCAGCCACTTGGGTCAGCTCCTCTGGGGAAATAGCAAGGTGCTCCCACGCCAGCCGAGAAACATAGTCCCTCCAGCGTGTCCTGGGTCTTCCTCTGGGTCTCCTCGCGGTGGGACGTGCCCAGAACACCTTGTCATGGAGGCATCCAGGAGGCATCCTAAACAGATGCCCGAGCCACCTCAACTGGCTCCTCTCGATGTGGAGAAGCAGCGGCTCTACTCTGAGTTCCTCCCGGATGATCGAGCTTCTCTCCCTATCTCTAAGGAAGAGCCCAGACACCCTGCGGAGAAAACTCATTTTGGCCTCCTGTATAAGTGATCTTGTTCTTTCGGTCACAACCCAAAGCTCATGACCATGGATGAGAGTAGGAACGTAGATCGACGAGTAAATTGAGCGCTTTGCCTTTTGACTCAACTCTCTCTTCACCACGACAGACCAGTACAGCACCCGCTTCACTGCCGATGCTGCACCTATCCGCCTCTCGATCTCATGATCCATTATTCCCTCATTCATGAACAAGATCCCAAGATACTTGAACTCCTCCACTTGGGGCAGGACCTCCTCCCTGACCCGGAGAGGGCACTCTACCCTTTTCCGGCTCAAGATCATGGCCTCAGATTTGGAGGAACTGATCCTCATCCTGGCCGCATCACACTCGGCTGCGAACCACTCCAGTGAAAGCTGTAGATCACGACCTGATGAAGCCAATAGGACCACATCATCTGCAAAAAACAGAGGAGCGATCCAAAGGCCACCAAAACAGATCCCCTCAACACCTTGGCTGTGCCTAGAAATTCTGTCCATAAAAGATATGAACAGAATCGGTGACAAAGGGCAACCTTGGCGGAGTCCAACTCTCACTGGGAACGAGCCCGACTTACTGCTGGCAATGAGGACCAAGCTCTGACACTGGTCGTAAAAGGACCTAACAGCCCATATCAAAGGGCCTGGTACCCCATACTCCCGGAGTACCCCCCACAGGGCTCCCCGAGGGACGCGGTAGAACGCCTTCTCCAAGTCCACAAAGCACATGTAGACCGGTTGGGCAAACTCTGACGCACCATCCAGAACCCTGCTGAGGGTGTAGAGCTGGTCCAGTGTTCCACGACCAGGACGGAAACCGCACTGCTCCTCCTGAATCCGAGGTTCAACTATTCGATGGACCCTCCTCTCCAGAACTCCTGAATAGACCTTACCAGGGAGGCTTAAGAGCATGAGCCCCCTGTAGTTGGAACACACTCTATGGTCCCCCTTTTTGAATAGGGGGACCACCACCCCAGTCTGCCAATCCAGGGGAACTGCCCCCTATGTCCACACAATATTGCAGCGTCGTGTAAGTCAACACAACCCCACAACATCCAGAGCCTTAAGGAACTCCGGGCGAATCTCATCCACCCCTGGGGCCCTGCCACCGAGGAGCTTTTTAACCACCTCGGTGATCTCAGCACCAGAGATTGGAGAGCCCGACCCAAAGTCCCCAGGCTATGCTTCCTCAGTGGAAGACGTGCTGGTGGGATTGAGGAGGTCTTTAAAGTATTCTGCCCACCGACCCACGACATCCCGAATTGAGGTCAGTAGCACACCACCTCCACTATAAATAGTGTTTATGGCATACCGTTACCCCCCCCCCCCCCCTCCCACCCCAGAAGTCATTCTCCATGGCCTCACCAAACTCCTCCCATGCCCAAGCTTTTGCCTCAGTGACCACCCAAGCCGCATGCCGCTTGGACTGTCGGTACCCATCAGCTGCTTCCGGGGTCCCACATACCAAATAGGCCCGATAGGACTCTTTCTTTAGCCTGACAGCATCCCTCACTGCCGGAGGACACAGGACAAAGGACACAGGAAAAAATACATTGATCTAAATAGAAAAAGGTAACAACTAAAAGGCTAACACTGTAGAATACATACAAAATTATAAACAACTTGCACAGTGTCACAAGCCAGGGAATAAAAGTAGGTTTTTAAGTGAGACTTAAAAAACATTGAGTGGGAGACTGCCTGACATGTAGTGGTAACTCATTTTACAGTCTTGGACCTGCAACAGAGAAGGCCCTGTCACCTCTGAGCTTGAGACGGGTTCCTGGAACCAATAGGACCATCTTATCTTCTGACCTCAGAGAGTGTGGGACATATGGCTGCAGCAGATCACCAAGATAAGAGGGAGCAGAATCTTTTCGTTAAGGTTTAGCTAATTTTAGCTTTTAGTTAGGGTTTAGCTAATTTTAGCGTTTGTAGACAGTTTTTCTCATTTTAGCATTTAGACATAATTTTTCTAAATTTAATTTTTAGTTACTATTTTGTTGTTTTTAGCTTTTGTTTAGCTTGTTTTAACTTTAACAATTAATCTAAAAATATTTTTTCAACAAATTATTTGCAGTCACTCAGCATAGGTAGCCGAGTGGTGACGCAGAGGTTAGAGAAGGTGAGCCTTTGATCGGAAGATCACTGGTTCAACTCCTGGTACTGACAACGTCAAAATGTGGGTGGGAAAGGTGAAGCACCCACACCTGCCTCCACCCTCATTTATTCCACTCTGGACCCTTGAGCGAGGCCCTTAACCCCCACCAGCTGCTCCCCTGGGCACCCTCTCTGCTCCACACAGAGGGCTGTGGTAGTTCGGTGGTCTGTGGTTGTGTTAGGAAGGGCATTCAACGTAAAAATAATTGTCAAGTTTTTGTGCGACTTCGTTCGCTGTGGCGGCCCTTGAAGAAGGGAGCAGCCAAAAAAAAAAATAAAAATAAAAATTGCAGTCACTCACTCCATATTGCTTTTGTCACAGAAAATACAGTTTCTGTACCTAACATGAGTAGTATTTAATGTCTGTTTTATTTGTAACGTCCAAGTACAACAAGATAAAAAGCTACCCTTTGACTAACTCTGGTGCTTTTATAGTAATGTTTAAAATTGTCCTGTACCTGTTAAATAATTTCACAAACCTAAAAACTAAGAACCTGACAGGTTTCCTTCATGATATCTTTCTAACCTACCAGTGCCCTGGCGTTGGGATTGGCTCTCTTATCCAGCAGGAGTTTGGTGACTCTGTAGTGACCGCAGTGAGCTGCTACATGCAGCGCGGTCAGGTAGTCCAGCGTAACATCATCAACAGGAGCCTTGTGCTGCAGAAGGTGTTTGACACATTCCACGTGGTCACCTTGGGCTGCCATGTGCAGCGGGGACAAACCATTCTGGAAAAACAGGACAGTCCATTCAGATTAAATGACGAGGACTAAAGAAGCCCAGGAATACGTTGTTACAGATCAGGGACACATGGATCTGCTTTGCTCAGCTACTACCACAGCAAACTTTAGCTCAATATCTGAAAAACTGATTATTGTGTTATCAAAGGCTGCTTAGCTGTGGCAGCCATCTTGAATCAGACTGAGTGCAAAGGTTAACTGGTTGGTAATGTACAACTAATGATTATTTTCAAAAACATTCATTAAAATTTGTCCAGTGGGTCATGATATATTTTGCTAACAAACAAACAAATGAACACAGGCACGCACAGAAATAT